TTGTCAGCGGTATGTTGGTTGTCGTCGTTGCTTGGTCCCGCGGTGTGGTGGGCGTTGTCATGGGCAAGGAAGGGTGCGGCGTATCTCATGGGTCTGGGCTGTTACCTCTTTGGCGAACAGTCTGGGCAAGGAACGCGAGTACAACTTCAAGGAGATTGCTCAGCAAGAAGCGCGCATTGAAAAGTACAAGGCCGAGGGTCGCGATGAATATGACGTCCGCAAGCAGGTATGCTGCCCGCCTTGTTCCGCTCTCCACTCTGGCTTCGTCCGCAACCTGGCTCACTTGGCAAGGGCGCGCGGTTGCTCGCAGTACGAGGTGCTCGAGGAGTGCAAGATGATGGTTCCCAACACCCAACAGCGGCTTGAAGAGGAGCACAAGAAGCTCACCGATATGGTCGTATGTCAAACAGCTCGGCGCCTTGCTCATCGCGCCCCTTGCCGCCGCGCTGCCCCCCCACTCACTCTGCCCTTCAACCGCACACCAACCTAGGCCAACGAGACAGATTTGGCCGAGACCCCTGAATACAAGGCGGCCCAAGAAATGCTCACCACTGTGCCGGTTCAACTGGAGTAAAACCTTTGCACATGTTCATCCCGCACTGACCGGCCTTCTCGCCCTCAGCCCCCCTTGTATGGCTGCGGCCACAAGATGCGTGTTGTTCAATTTTGTTGTGTGTGCGTATGTTTGTTCGGTCAAGCTCTGCCAAGGCTTGGCTTGGCTTGCTCTACAGAAACGCTTGTACAGACGGGCCCTGCTCAAGGTAGCTTGGGAGATAGGTCAATCGAATTATTGCTTGGTGCACTGGTACGCTTATCTGTCCACACACCGAGCAGCCAACCCAGCATTTTTATGGTCGAACATAAATGTACTTGCTTCCCGTGACTGGCACAGCCGCCTAAACTCCACACACGCACGCACACACACGCCAGCCGTGAGCTGCTGCAAATGCAAATGCAAATGCAGATGCAAAAGCCGACACCAGTGCCAATCACACATTCCCGCGCGCTTTAGCATTGCCACGACCAAAATCCAAGGCCTTACCCCCTTGCGTCCGTCCACCAGGGTCACGCTGGGCAGTTTGAGTTGGCCCGTGGTGAGAGGGAGCAGGTCAAACCGCACTTGAGACATAGCCTCCTGCCCGGCAGCACCGGGCAGAATGCGCAACACCTGGTTTGGATCACCTGCCAGCATAAAGTCTGGGGTTTGTTCCATAAGTAGCTCGGCCTCCTCAATGTAGCCGCTGCGCGCCCGGACCACGAGCTCCACCTTGACTGTTTCACCACTGCGACATGTTGACGGTGCTTGTACATGGGCTCGCAATCGCATCTCTTGTGCCACGATCTCAGGTAGCTCCAGCCTTAGCGTGTTTCGGCGCTCACAACCAGGCCTAACGCACAAAAGCAAGACAAAAAAAAAAAAAAAAAAAAAAAAGCAATGATAATGGTCAAAAAAGATACCTCGTTGCATCTGGTCTCGAATCACCAGCAATAAAACCCACCGCAACCAGGTGGCCACTACCGTGCCCAATGTCGTAGGCTCGACCACCTCACGCCGCAGCGAAAAAATGAGCTGCTCAGCAAAAGCATCACCCTCATGGTACAACTCGCAAGCGCCTACAACCCCAAGGTACCAGATTTCAAAGTGAGCAACTTCTTGGCCCTTCACCTGGCGCTATTGCAAAGAGCACGACCAACAGTATGGCCCACAACAATTTTTTTTTAGAAAAAAGAGGAAAGACTTACCTTCATCAATATTCAGCGCAGATTGCCCAGCCAGAATCTGCAACCCATCTGATTTGATCCCCGGTTGTACCTCAGCACCACGCAGCTCAAGCGGTGTTTTACTGCAGCATTGTAACTGATACATGCGCGCAGAGACGGCACATAATGAGCTGCTGCAGAGCTACACGCGTGCTCGTCCATCAACCCATCGCCTCACGCCATGGCGGCCAATGACACACCTCATAAGCGAGTCGCAAATCATCGTGGCACGGAAGAGGTTCTGCTAGGGACACTAGTCGGCCGTTGAGATCTTGCAAGTTGGCCGCCAATGCAAAGGGTGCAATCACGACCAGCGTTGCCTCAGAGTGCTTTGATCGTGCAAGCACAAATAAAACAAAAGAACAGGCAAGCAACACAGGGTAAGCTCATACGCATGAAAAATAACAGCAATGCCAATGTCAATGCGTGCGCCCGCCCTCATCGCAACTCACTTGTCGATGCGAGTCGCTGCCATGCATGTAAGTCAGGCGCGCAGACAGCTCCCGGCCAGGCGTGACGCTGGGGCAGTCGAGGAAGACACGTGTAGCAAACTCGCCCTGGGCCTTGAAAAAAAAAAAAAAAAAAAAAAGTCGTCAATGCGACATATGAGCACAAGATGGGAACAAGTGGACTGGAATTCGACGGTGCATGCCTTTGAAATGGGGCATAAAATCGAAATCCTCATACCTTGATGAGGCCCATATCCACCGTTCTAAGCACCTCGTCGTCCGCTGCCTCTTCGGTGGCATCTACGACGGGCAAACCCTCGCTGTCAGGTACACAAAGAGGACAGTAGACTGTGGCGGCGAGCCGACGCTAAAGCTCGTGGGGCAAGCACTATGCGCCCAGAAAAAGAGGCTGCGCGACTTACAGAAGGTGGCTTCTCCGTCGAGTGCTTGAAGTTGGCACTTGACGTCGACCAAGTCTTGCTCGCAGATGTTAACAACCCGTAGATCAAGTGGACAACGCTCGCCAAGCAAGCCTGGGTGTCGGTTCAAGGGAGAGGAGACAAGACGTGTGACTTATTCGCATGCAGGGCGGGAGGCCAAGCTCGTGGGACGAGATTTGCCAGTCGGGCCAAGGCTGCTGCGAGCAAAACCGTTACCGTGTGCTGGTGGAGAGAGCGTAACGGTTGCAAGCTCTTTGGTGCTGACAAAGGCCAAATGTGTGCGATTGACCACTCGTGAAAATGGCAAGGCTTGAACTTCCGTCGCTAGTGGCAGCGGCTGCTCTCCCCGAGCCTTGCCCGTTGCAAAGTTCCTAGTCCACAAATATTCAGCCAGATATGAGCGCAAGCACCCGGGCAGTGCTGACGTCAGCATGTCAACCGTCTTTGAGAATCAACCTACTCACCAATCAACGGTCAGCTGGTGCCGTGAGCTGCTCACCACCGCTTGGATGCGCTTCACAGCATATTGGATATGGGCCGCATCGGGCGCACGGTGTACTGGCACATTCAGGCGCAGAGTAGATCCTAGCACCAAAACACCCCCGTATCAATTGGTGGACGGATCCTTGGCCATCCACAAGAGGCGCTCAAACCACGCATGCAGCAACATACCGGCATTGAGTTGAATGGGTTCAGTGACGCCAGCTGTCAAGACGGGGGCATCGGCCACGCGCTTCTGACGTTTGCCATCGCACGCCTCAAGTTCCACGGTCAAGGATGACAGCGTCAGCGAAGCAGGCAGACTGGAGTTCAGCAGCACCAAAAGATCGGCCGTCGTGCCCGTGGCACCTAGCAAAGCTGAACACTATTTTCAGAGACAGCGTGAAACGGCCATGAGCAGCTTGTGAGCAAAAGCATAAGGGCATCTCTAAGCGGTCGCTTGAACAGGCATGCATGCACATGATTCGGTCTGACACTTGAGCGTGTGCTGCAGCCCCTTCGCTGGTGGCTCGTGGCATTAGGAGGGGAGTACCTTGCAGCGAATGGCCGCAGGCTCTGCAGCATGTACGTCAAGCACTGGTCCATCAGCCTCCCAGGCTGGGTCCAGGTTGGCACAAGCGTCATCAAAACCAGTTGTAACGCCGGTGTTGAGCCATTCAATGAGATGATTGAGAATGGCGCCGCGCTGGCTAGTTTCTAGCGGCAGCCGGCCATCCAAACATGCCAGCGAGCGCTGGCAGTACTGCACCCCATCACCCAGGGCAAAGGCACACCTAATTCCAATCAAAGGCAAGTCAGAGTGGGATGCAGCACTTGGGAGACCGGTTGCTAAACAAAAAAGGCAATGCCGCTCGAGAGACACGGCTAACCGAAGGGCGTGGACCTCATATTCTGCAAGCAGGGCAAACCAGGGCTCTCGCCATTGGATGGCGAGGACCTCTTCCCAACATCTAGCGCGGCATGGTGTGTTGAGTAGGGGCGTCGAGGCAGCACATTTGGGTTTTGAAAATGGCGCGCCAAAACCTCACTTGAGCGCCTTGTCATAGCGGTGCAGCGCCATGAAAGCATGTGCCAAGCGGCATTTCAGGCCGGCAATGGTACGGTAGACGGTTTGAGGTTCACGGGCACCCTGCAAGAGGCCAGCAGTTAAGATGTCAACCCAGGCCAAGCGAGTGGAGAGGCGGAGGGAGAAGAAGTGGAACGTGAGTGTAAACAGAGACGCCGACGGTAAACCAGGGTGACCGCACCTCTTTGCCAACAACTCGGTGAACAACTGCGTAGCGCTCAAAGTGTGCTAGGGCCCGCTCAAGCAGAACCTGTTGATGTGCGGCATGAGGCACTTGGTGCTCCAAAGCCTGTTGGGACAACCCGCCCCATAATATCGCGAAACACGCCCGGGCCAACGATGGGATGAGAAATGCAGCGCTGGTGGTGCTAGAGGGGGACAAGCTTTTCCTTCTTCACGTTCAAAAGATCAAGCAGTCAGGACGGCGCGCACCGTGAGAATGGACGTATCCGTTACGTTGAGAGTAGATTGTTCTGCCACTTGAATCTGTCCAAGGAACATCTATGGGGCACGCAGCAAAAGGTCAGACAGCGCGATGCTTGGTGTCGAGTTGAAGTCATCTGCGTGTTAGACAAGGACTGTTACGCACGCTCGTGGTCTCGGTGGCTGTGATATCCGTAGGCTGTTGACCGTGCTGAGCCAAAAGGGTCATACGTTGGTGCTCGTGGTCTGCCGCTTGTTGAAAATACAGGCCTGGGTGTTCCGTCTGTGCATGGGAACGGGCAGCAATGCATGGGAACGGGTAGCAAAGGGCATCAGGCTGACTCAGGAGGCTGGCATCAAGATGAGCTTGCTTCGGCCATGGAGCAGGCGAATATAGCGAACCATAATAGGCTGCAAACCACTGGCAACGGCCTTTTCAAAGACCAGACCAAACTGGAGGTAACTGTGAACGAATGTCAAGGGCCACTCCATGATGAGGCAACGAGGTATCGCAAAACACAAGCAGGCGAATTGGAAAACCACGAGCATACACAAAGCTGAAAAGTCGGGCTCGGCGCCATGGGTGCTGGTGGTCCACAGACGCTAAGAGCAAAGGGATTGGGTAGGGTGTGAATTCACAAGCCACCAGAAAGGTAAGACAGAACATCTTCCGTTTAAAAAAAAAAGGTTGAGCGAATCTGAGAATTGAAGGCGGGGGGAGGGAGCACGACACCTTGTCGAAGCCAATTGACCAGGTTGCGAAAGATTTTGAGAGCCATTAAGTTGGCATTTTGAAGAAAGTTGAGGTGACAAAGCTATATCGGCCAAGCGGTATGCGTCTTCTTGTAAGTGGGAGGGCGGAGGCAACAATCATTCGACCAAGCACCGAGCAGACCTTGATGTTGAGGAGGGAGAAAATATAGGCGAGCTCGAATTCACGGCCGGACAGGGGTGTGAGCTGCTGGAGTTCACGGACGCATTGCGTGTAGGCTGCGGTTGCTTTTGGATAGTCCTGCATGAGTTCGTTGAAGAACCCAATTTTGAAGGCGTATCTTGCAAGTAGCTCCTACCAGGGGTTGATGCGATGAAATGGCGCATGCCAAGGGAGGGAGTGTATAAGCGGATTGGCGGGGAAGGGCGAGGCGAGCATACAAGACGCATACCCGTTCAGTGGTCTCGTGGACGGCTTCACGCCGTGCGGTGACGCGAGCAATCTCAGCTTGGTAATGCTGGCCGCACAGCTCCATAAAGACTGACTCGAGCCTGGGGGAGTGATGATCCAACACGCAAACGAGTTGATGGAATGAGCAACGGCGGCGGTGAGTGGCAGCGAGCATCGGGCTGGAAGGCGGAGTTGGCCTCACTTGATGAGATCATGAACCACGCGTTGCATGGGTGAGTCCAGGATGTAAAGTTCCTTTTGGCGCAAGAGTTGGCACTTGTTACGCAAGGAGCTGGCACGCGCAGTGATAATTTCTGGGGCGATGGCATTGATGAGCGTGGCGTGATGCCGGCGATGTGTACCCCGGATCAGTGCAGAGCGCCTTTGACTAACCATCGGAGACTTCTTGTTGGCGGCGATTTTGGAGGAGAATGGCGATGAGACGAGTGGGCCGAGAGCCTCGCTGATCGCTACATGTGGGATGCTGCTTGTCAGAACGCAGCGGAGCAAATCCGGGCTGCAGAACCGCGGGGGAGGAGGGGGAAGAGGGAGAGGGGAGAGGACACACCGAATGGCGGCCACCATTTGAGCATATTCTTCTTCGCGCTTATTCCAGTCTTCGGCCTCCCACTCGAGAGCCATGAAGATGACAATGACGGCGGGAATCTCCTCAGCATGCTATATGGAGGAATGCGGGGCAGTGATGCAAGTGTGCGATGGGTGTGCTGGTGGTGCAGGCTCGAGCTTGCACGGCAGAGGTGCCGGCAGGCTTCAAGAGGGAGGATAGAAGGGGGTTAGGGAGAGAGAGAAAAAAAAGCGTACGCGACTTATCCAGTGACGCTTGATGATGCCGTCTGGAATATGGGCTTCTTCGGTGACGCTTTGGGTGGGAGCCGCCTGGCATGATGAACCAAACGTGCAGGTTACAAGAGGACAAGGAAAGCACGGCCGGTTGTGCCGGGGGTATGCGTGCATGACACCCAACTAGGTCGATGGCAGACCTTTTCCTTGCGAGGGGGGAAGAGCTGGTCTGTGACGCTCTTGAATCTGTACTCGAGCGCAGCTTTGGGTCGTTGATTGGCCTATTTAGCCCGGTAGACGCGTGAGTGTCGAGTAGCATTCTTCAGTTGGTGTCGTTGGGGTGCTGCAGGCATGGGTGCGCGCCGAAAATTGGTTGAAAAACAAGCAAGCTCCCCACGGACCTCGACGAGGCCCTGAAAGACGGCCTGGCTTTTTGGATCTTGTTGATCATGGGCACCAATCACATGAACCGGCGCGCGGGGTGCAAACAGGCCAGGCGGAATGGCCAGATGGCCAGCACCGACAGCGACCACATGATCGCTGGCCTCTGTCATCCCGACTGCTCAAAGAAACACGCCCGCAGCAGCACAAGCCTCCAGGCAGCCGAACTCGCCAGCCAGCCAGCCAGCCAGCCAGCCCAGCAAAGGTCCTTCGTCTACACGAGAGGCAAGAGCTAAAACCAGAATCGGCTATGGAGAGGAAGCAGAGCAAGAGTGAATGCAGGGGCATGAGGTTTGCAGCAATGGAAGCATGGAGCCCATGGGCAACGCCTCTGCCACAGAAGCAGCCCACGCTCCCCTCTGTTCTTGGTTGTTCCCGCTGCCGTTCAGACGTACTTCACTGACCAGAGAGAGAGAGAGAGAGAGAGAGAGAGAGAGTTGAGAAAGTTTGAGAGAGTTTGAGAGAGTTTGAGAGAGTTTGAGAGAGAGAGTTTGAGAGAGTTTGAGAGAGTTTGAGAGAGAGAGTTTGGAGAGAGAGAGTGAGAGTTTGAGGGTATCAACATTCATATTATTTCCAAGGGGTGAGTTGACTATCCGAGCATTGGGGGGGGGGGAAAGGATCACAGAGAGTACATCCGGATGGACATAATGGATGTAAAATGAATTGACATGGATGCGAGCCTTGGGAAAAACCGAAAGGACAAGGTGGAGGGAGGGGGGGGGTGTTCCCGTGCCATCTTGTTGCGGTCGGATGACAGCAGGATGGAGGTTGGGGAGAGAATACGAAAAGGCTTCACAAGATCGTGCAAGGTCGCGAATGGGCGCTTTCTTAAAAGAGCACGGCGAGGGCGGCGAGGGTGGCAACAAGGGCGGCGGCGATGGACGCGGTGGAGGCACTGCTGCTGCCATCCACGGTGGTATCAGCGCCGCACTTGAGAACAATCTTGGCCACGGAGAGTCCGTGTTGACTGTCATCATCGTCAGAGAAGAGGTGGGTGAAATCATCGTCAAAATCGAAGAGATCATTGCCAATGTGGATAATGGACTGATTGTGCATGAAGTCATCGTCGTCGTCAAAGTCGTCAAAGTCGTCGTCAAAGTTGAACAGATCATTATCATCGTCGTCAAAGTCGTCGTCACCGCCGACGGGCGCAAGGTCAGTAAGGGAAATGCATTCGTTCATAACGAGCGGTGAGCTGACGGAGGCGCCTTGGCATTTGTCGGAAGACGTGTGGGTGCGCAGGGTCATCGAGTCCTCGGTGCATGTGAGTTGGAAGGAGATGCCAGCGGGGCCGAAGACGCTCTTATCATCATCAAAGTCAAAGGGCGAGGGGGGGGCTTGGCAGCCGTCTTCAACAAAGATGCGCATGGGAGGGTTGCCGCTGCAGTCGTTGGTGGGGTAGATCAGCATGGTGCCCACGGTGTTTTCGGGAGCTTCGACGCAGGAAAACTTGAAGGTCTCGCCCATGCAGCTGTTCAAGCTCTGTGATCCCATGCTCTAAATTTTTCAATCATCCAGATCGCAGTCCATCGTCAGTTTGAGAAAGAAAGCAACACGAGAGCAGAGGCGCAAGGCAAAGTGTCGAGGCTAGGGATTGTAGCAGGCGCGGCATGCTCACCTTGGTGCAAGTCGTGTCGTTATAAACGGTAAATTGCTATCAAAAGAACCAAAAACAAAAAGCCCCTTAGGATCAGAACGGACATGGTCACGCCGGGCAGTCATGAGTGCAGGCCCAGGCGCACATACGTTGGTGTCGCAATTGATTTTGGCAGAAGTACGGCCAAGGGGCAGGCAGTGGTCTGAGGAGATGACCATGTTGCCAAAGCCAATGGGGTTCAGCACAAAGTTCCACATGCCGTCATCATCGCCGTCGCACGACGAAATGCTGGCAAAGCGGGTTGCCTGCGTGGTGGTGGCGAACATGGCTGGCAGGAACAAGCACGCGGTTTGGTGAATGAGCGGGACAACCGTCTGAGGACATGGCCAGTTGGCGGCGGGGTTTCGCGAGTCATCCCACTTGGCACTCTTGCTTCACCCAAAGTCACGCCGCCGCTCTTCCGTGACGACACCACCCCGATCAAGACCCTGACTTGCAAATAAACATTGCCGTTTGAGCAAACGTTACTAACCCAGCACGACGATCCATGCCGCCTTGGCCTTGGACGAACTCATCTTGCCGATTGCCGGAAAAACAACAGGGCAGTGCGGAAAAGCACAGGGAGGGGGGGATGAGCGAGCGGAAGAAAATGCACAGAGATGGGAAGTGTGTGTGTGAGAGAGAGGGGGGGGGGGGGAGAGAGAGAGAGAGAGAGAGAGAGAGAGAGAGCTTGAGAGAGAGAGAGAGAGAGCTTGAGAGAGAGAGAGAGAGAGCTTGAGAGAGAGAGAGAGAGAGAGAAAGAGAGAGAGAGCTTGAGAGAGAGAGAGAGAGAGAGAGCTTAAAAAAGAGAGGGCGTGTGTGAGCTGTTACCTACCACAAAAAGCCTAGCAAGCGCTCGCGCGTGTGTATGTGTGTGTGTATGTGGAAACACCACCCCCCTCGAGGTCGTGTGAAGTAGGAGTGCCAAACGTAGTGTCCACACTTGAATAAGGTCAATAGGTTGAGAGATGTGGAACGAGGGCGAAAGAGATGGAGAGGTATGGAGCGAGCGTGAGAGCGATGGAGAGGTATGGAAAAGGGTTGATAATGGAAGTCAGAGATGGAATGAGCGTGCTGGTTTAAATCAGAGAGAAACATAGACGACGAAGAAAACCTGATCAGATTTATCACCACATGGTTATTGCAGTTAAAAAAGAAGTTAATGTAGTTTTTAGCGTATAGTGAATAAAAGTTGTTGTCCTAAAAACACAGTTACTGTCGGTGTTGTCCTGATTCCTTGGCACAGACTGTCATCGGTCTCGGCAGTCGCCTGCCGTCTGTCTCTGTCTCTGTCTGCTGTCTCCGTCTTCTGTCATTGTCTTCTGTCTCCTGTCGTTGATCCCTGTCGTTGATCCCTGTCTTTTGGCCCTGTCGTCTTCTGTCTGTCTCTCCATCTCCTCCCCCCTTTTCCCCCCAAGATCTGTGGTGTGTGTGTGTGATCCGCCCTCTTACTTTCAGCAATTCAAACCCCGCCCGCCCCCTTTCCCTAGAAATTAACTCCATTTTTTTGACCTCCATACCTGTCCTCTTTTTTGGGAAATTAATTTTTTTTCTATTCTAACATTCGTTTGTCAGAGAGGCGCTGGTTCGGTAGATTCGCATCAATTTGCCATAGGAGCAGACGGGAAGTGGTACTCGGGACGGGTCTTCGTCCGGGGGTTTGGGGGTGTGCGTGTACACGCACGCGCTGTAGGACAGGCCGGCTGTGCGTCGGCTTGAAAAAAACATGCGTGGGACGGAGGAGAATGGAGGAGGCGTTCGAGGCGAAGGCCAGTCGACCTATCAATTCTTTGAAGGTTCGAGGCACAACAAGCCAGAGCATCAGTTCTGGCACCATGTTTCTTCTCTTCTCCCTCAGGTTTGCTCAGCACACACTCGAATTCGTACGCCGGGGCGTCCGAGCTGCACAACTGTGGGCTCAGAGCAGAGCCGCGACCAGGGCGACGGTGGCCACGAGACCAGCGGTCACCGAGGCGGTGGTCGCGCTGCCAGTGCCGTCGGCGGTGGTGTCGGCGCCACACTTGGCCACCATCTTGTCTGCCATAAAAGGGTGATCATCGTCATCATCATAGTCATCATCATCGTCGTCGTCGCTGGGGAAGACGGTGTTCAGGTCCAGACACTCATTCGCGGGCACGTTGAAGGTGGTGGCGGTGCCGGTGCACGAGGCTGATTCGGTGAACACGCTGACCACAATCTTCTTATCCTCACAAGCCACGGACATGGAGGTGGGGCTTGCGCGGGGCACAAGCTTGTCATCGTCGTCGTCGTCGTTCTGCTGGATGCAAGTGTCGGTGACAAAGTAGCGCAGGTTGGGGGTATCGGAGCAATCATCCTCGTCGTACATGAGCATGGTGCCGACGGTGTTCTCGGGGGCGGTGCCGCACTCAACAGAGAAGCCAATTTTGTTGCAGTCGAAGGTTTCCGAGCCAAGCTAAGTGTGTGAGCAGTGACCAGGCGGGTGACGTTAGGGCATCACGCGTGACGCTTGTGCCGCCAGCGGGCCAAGGGTGGTGGACTGAAACTGAAACTGGCATGGGCTCAGCAGCAAAGTATACCTCGTGGGCGCAAGTGGAGCTATTGTAATACTTCAGCTCGTTGGTCTGTCGTCAAGATGGTGAGTCACCATGAGAGTGAGAGAGAGTGAGAAAGAAAGAGAGAGCGAGCCGTTGGGCAAAGATGTGAGCGCGCGGCACAGAATCAGCTCTGCACACAGAACCACGATCTGGAAAAGGGGGCAAGACCAACCGTGCAGTCAGCCTTGACGTGCAGGCCTTCGACAAAGGGCACACATGCATCGGCGGTCCAGGCAATGGTGCCAAAGCCCAAGGGGTTGTGGTCAACATTCCCACAGAACTTGATCATGGCAAACTGAACATTGTCATCAGCTGCTGTTGCCGCGGCTATCGAGTGTCACAAACAAGGGAGTGAGGAATGAGTCCAGAGCGGGCGGGGCGATGATACCAGAGCCTTACCAAAGAGCACGACGGCCATCGCAATAGTCTTGAACATGATCCTGGTCTAGTCGGCCGAGAACAAAAATGCCACTCGCCCTCGCCCTCTTCCCGATACCACCGTTGACGGTGCACGTGTAACAAAAAATCCGTAGACCGTCGTCAGTGTTGTGATACGGCCACGACCTTTTTTTGTAAATTGTAATCGCTCGTGACTCGTTTTGAAAAGGGCGCGAACGACTGATTGATTGGTTCGGTGTGGTGGCGTAGTGGTAATTGGGTTGGATGTGCTGCACATGCCACACACCCCCGCCTTTTTGGCTCGTTGTTTTTTTTTTTTTACTCCACACTCATGAGACGCTGCCCGCTGGCTCTCTGGCCCGCTGGCTCTCTGGCCCGCTGGCTCTCTGGCTCTCTGGCCCCTCTGGCTCTCTGGCCCCTCTGGCTCTTTGATCAGGGCCATCAGGGCCATCAGGGCTATTAGGGCTATTAGGGATATTAGCGCTATTAGGGCTATCAGGGAACACTAACAAGGATATCAGGGCTAACAGGGGTCATGGGAAAGCAAGCAAAAAATCAAATCGACACCGTTCGTTCCGACCAAAAGGTTGACGCCCCCCTCACTGGCTTTTGCATCATGTCCTTCCGATGGTCGTTGCAGACAGGGACAGACCATTGCAACGACATCCGTTACACATTATTGCTTTGACGTGGTCGGTAGCAATCGCGTTGGGAGCCAGGTTGCAAGTGGCCGGACAGCCATGTAGGGGGCGTTTCCACTTCACGGTCAACTCTTGATTTGCAGGAGCACACGCCCCGAAATCGCTCCCATCAAGGGCAGGCTCTCGCCTGTCACTCCTGCGTTTCACAACTATAGGGCCATATGGCCGATTTGGTACTGCAAGGGTTGTATCTCGCCATCAAGTTCATGAGGGTGCGCTTTATGATTTCTTTGTGATTTCGCTGGGGGCTGAGTTTTAAAACTATGACCGTGAGATCATGATAAATTGCGTGTGCCTCACGAGGCTACAATGGCTTCAAATGATGAGACGCAGCTTTAGAGCAGAGCCGCAATCAGGGCCACGGTGGCCACAAGACCAGCCGTTACCGAGGCGGTGGTCGCGCTGCCAGTGCCGTCGGCGGTGGTGTCGGCGCCACACTTGGCCACAATCTTGTCTGCCAGGAAAGGGTGGTCATCGTCATCATCGTAGTCATCATCATCATCGTCGCTGGGGAAGACGGTGTTCAGGTCCAGGCACTCATTCGAGGGCACGGTGAAGCTGGTGGCGGTGCCAGTGCACGAGGCCGAGCTAGTGTACACGCTGACCACAATCTTCTTGTCCTCACAAGCCACGGTCATGGAGGTGGGGCTTGCGCGGGCCGCGCGTGGCTCATCATCGTCGTCGTCGTCCTGCTGGATGCAGCTGTCGGTGACAAAGTAGCGCGTGTTGGGTTTATCGGAGCAGTCATCCTCGTTGTAAAGGAGCATGGTGCCGACGGTGTTCTCCGGGGCGGTGCCGCACGTGATGGAGAAGCCGCCCCCGTTGCACGCGAATGGCTCACTGTTCATCTATGAAAGCGGTTGAGATTGGAGCAAGGGGCGGTGACAGGCCCGTTAACAGGCTCATATCATACATATCATATCAACCAAGGCTGTGAAAGAAATCAAGCCGGGCGAAGCGCGTACCATGTGAGTGCAGCTGGAGCTGTTGAAGATCTTCAGCGTACTGGTCTATACAAAGAAAGAGCCCAGAAGGTGCAAAAGGTGAGGGGATTTCCATGGTGGTGGATGAAGCAGGGGGGAGGGGACTAACCGCGCAGTCAGCCATGAGGTAAAAGTCTTCGCCATAGTACATGCAAGCGCCCGAGGTCCAGGCAATGGTGCCAAAGCCCAGGGGGTTGAGGCCTGAGTTGCCATCGCAGGGGGTGATCAGGGCAAACTGGACATCATCGTCTGCCGCGACGAAGCCAGCTGTTGTGGCAGCGTTTACAAATCATTGTCGATTGATGAGTCCAGAAAGACCGAAAAAAAAAAAAAAAGTGAGACGATAGTGCGACAGGGAGGGAAACGGCGGGGCGGCGGGGGGGGGGGAAGGCGTCCTCGAAGCCTTACCGCAAAAGACGGCGGCGATCAAGACGATCTTGAACATGATGCTGATTCCAAAAGGTGGAAAGATAAATGCCACTGACCCTTGGCGTGTGTGTAAGTAAGCAAGAGCGCGTTGTTGTTGAGAGAGGAGTGAGAGAGTGTGTGAGACAGAGACAGCGAGAGAGATGGAGACGGAGACAGAGAAAGCGAGAAAGAGACAGAGATGTTGATGGAGATGAAGATGGAGAGAAGACAGAGAAAAGAGGGACAGGGCGAGAGAGACAGAGAGTGAGAGACAGAGACCAGAGGGACAGGGCTAGAGAGACAGAGAGTGAGAGACAGAGACAGAGACAGAGATCCGTATGATACAGCAGAAGCGTGATGGCGTGAGTTTCGTGCCCCCCCACCCCCAACCCGTTTTGGTTGGAATTCCTGCTAAAGTAGGATGCACCTTGGTCCTCCCTCACACGGTATGCGCTGTTTCAACGGGGGGGGGTTTCTATTAAATTCGTCTCTGTGTGCATGTGCATGATCATCAGAATCAGTTGATCGCTTTTGAATTAATTGATGTGATGACGATGCGTGCATGTGATCGGGCAGGCTTAGAGCAGAGCCGCAATCAGGGCCACGGTGGCCACAAGACCAGCCGTTACCGAGGCGGTGGTCGCGCTGCCAGTGCCGTCGGCGGTGGTGTCGGCGCCACACTTGGCCACCATCTTTTCAGATACAAAAGGGTTGCCATAGTCATCATCATCAAAGTCATCGTCGCTGGGGAAGACAGCTGACATGTCCAGGCACTCATCAGCGGGCACGTTGAAGGTGGTGGCGGTACCGGTGCACGAGACCGAGTCGGTGAAAACGCTGACCACAATCTTCTTATCCTCGCAAGCCACGGACATGGAGGTGGAAGACGAGCGAAGCACGCGCCGATCATCATCATCGTCATCGTCGTTCTGCTGGATGCAGCTGTCCGTGACAAAGTAGCGCATGTCCGGGGTATCGGAGCAGTCATCCTCGTTGTACAGAAGCACGGTGCCAACAGTGTTCTCGGGGGCGGTACCACACGTGACGGAGAAGCCGCCCTCGTTGCAGCTAAAAGAATCATTACCCAACTAGAGTAGAAGCATGCGTGGTGCTTATGAGACACAAAGGGCCAACCATCGACTCAGAGCCAACCTTGGCCGTGTGAAGAGACGAGAAAAAAAGGTAAAAAAAACCAAAAAAAAAAACGGCCATTCAACGCGCGTACCTGATGGGTGCAGGTGGAGCTGTTGAAAAACTTCAGTTGGTTGGCCTGCAGAGAGTCGAGAAGGGTGGGTGAGCAAGAGGCGATTAGGAGCAGGAGTTGATCATTGGAGGACGGGAGTTTCAAGTCGACCGGGGACCAACCGTGCAGTCAGGCATAATGTAAAAGGTATCACTAAAGCGGATGCAAGCACCCGAGGTCCAGGCAAGGGAGCCAAAGCCCAGGGGATTCGCGCCATCATTGCCATTGCAAAACGAGATCAGAGCAAACTCGACGTCGTCATCGGCAGCCGCGACAAGGCCAGCTGTTGAAGCATGTCGAGTCGCGTTGCTTGATGAGTGCACAAAACGAAAAATCTGCGCCCAGGCGCGAGAGTAGATGTGTTCGGGGGTCTCCCACAAATCACCCCTGGCCGCAGGTAGCACATTGAAGCCTTACCGCAAAAGACGACACCGGCGATCAAAACGAGCTTGAACATGATGCTGATTCCAAATCGAGGAAAGATAAAAATGCCACTGAGCGAGAGAGCAAGAGAGCGAGGAGAGATTTAGAGAGAGAGAGAGATTGAAAGAGAGCGAGGAGAGATTTAGAGAGAGAGAGAGAGAGAGAGAGAGAGAGAGAAAGAGAGAGAGAGAGCGAGAGAGAGAGATTTTTACAGCGACGGAGAGAGATTTAGACGGAGAGAGAGACAGAGAGAGAGATTAAGAGCCATTTAGAGAGAGAGCGCGCGCTTGAGAGAATGATCTCAAAAAAAAGAGCTCGTGCAGGCGGGGTGGTAGGGCGTCATCAGACTTTCAAGGCCCAGGTCCGTCGTCATGACGTGTTTATTACAGCTGCACGAGTTTCAAAGCATACTTTTTGACCCTTCTGACATTAAATATGTCCTCCCAAAGCACAAAAATTTGTGATTTGCCAACGGATTTTTTTTTTTGATGATTTGCGGCTAGCGGCGACACGAGATGGGGCTTGCGGAGTTCTGAGGCAACCCTAGACCATGCATGGCCTTGCCATCGGACTGGTTGAGACGAGCGCCAGGATTTGACAGAGGGATCAGCATGATGTGTGTTTAAGTGTGTGTGTGTGTGCGTGTGTGTGTGTGTGATACCAATGCCAATTTGTGCGTGATCACATTGAAATTTTGGGTTCACAAGTCAAACTAAAAAAGACAACTGCGTCTAATAAAAAAAAAACATTCATCGAGCTGGACACGGCAGAGGCAGCCCAGTTAAAAAAGGGCGGCGACAAAAGCCACGGTGGCGATGAGGCCAGCCGTCACGGAGGCAGTGGTTGCACTGCCGGTGCCATCAGCGGTGAGATCGGCGCCGCACTTGGCAACGACATTGTTGGAGAAGAAAGGGTGGTCATCGTCATCGGCGCAGTCACAATCGTCGTCGCTGGGAAAGATGGAGCTCAGCTTCATGCACTCGTTGGCGGGCACGTTGAGAGAGGTGAAGCTTCCGCTGCACGTGCCGGAGCCGGTGTAGACGTTCAGCATGATATCCTTATTCTCGCAGGTAACAGTCATGGAACTCATGTCATCATCGTCAACGTAAGTCTGAAAGCATTCGTCGGTGACAAAGTAGCGCAAGTTGGGGGTATCGGAGCAATCGCCCTCGTTGTACATGAGCAGCGTGCCAACGGTGTCCTCGGGGGCTGAACTGCACTTGTACCGAAAACCACCCGCTCCGCAGTTGTTCAGGGTGATCGAATCCATCTGAAACAAAACCGGATTCAATGCGCCAGGCACCATCAGAGAGACGACATTCAATGTTGATTGCGAGCTTGCCACCACACACACACACACACACACACACACACACACACACACACACACACATACACACACACACACACACCGTCGTGCATGAGCCAAGGGGACTGATTTACCTGGCTGCTGCTGAGACATGAAGAGGCGTTGTGAACCGTAAGCATACCAGTCTGTGCATAGAGTTGGTTGCAGCGTGCGCATGAGAGGTCAAACCGGGACCAGTTGCAAGAAAGCCCGCTCATACGTGTGCCAGCCAACCCGTCATGAAACGAACCGTGCAGTCAGCCTTGAGGTAGACTCCATCAAATTCCATGCAAGCCCCCGAAGTCCAGGCGATGGTACCAAAGCCCAGAGGGTTGTAGAAGTCATCGTCGTTGCAATTTTCAACCGTCACAAACTGAGCGTCTTCGGCAGCCGCAAGGCCAGCTACCACATGTCAAGGCGTCAAGTGAGACCGTCATTATGACGTATCAAGTGCACTGTACCATCGGCTGCCCCGTTGCGAAAGCACCAATGCCCCAGTCGGCTTACCGCCAAGGAGAGCAGCGATCACGATGGTCTTGAACATGATGCAGGTCAAGGCACAACGTCGTTGGAAAAAAATGCCCACTTCTGCTTTAACAGAACAAGCGGCGGAAGCAAGTTAAGGGGGCGGGGCCGGGGTGGCGTCTTTCCCAGCTCGAGCCGTTCATAGGACGCCGTTGGGACTATCGTGGACTAGTGTAGTAAATTTTGAGGTTAATGCAGCAGATGAATAGATATAGTGCATACAACGTTGTGGTGTGATATAAGAAGATGGAGCTAGGAAGGTGGTTAACAAACTACCAAACCCGTGACAGAATGGGTGACGCAAGTCAATTCCTCGGAATTAATTTTGGCAGGGGAAAAGCGAGGTTTGAGCGTGTGGCAATTTGAAGTGAAATCGCATTGCAATTGTGTTGGCACGTGTACTTTCACCCCCGCGGATGGGTTGCTTCGACCCCATAATGACAATCCCACTGTGATTTGAGGGTATTCCGTGGGTATCACCAGAACCTCAAGGTGTGACACAAATGCCAAATCGCCACCTTGAGCTGCTGTTGTGTGTGGTAAACATGCCAACGCCCCGCCCCCCTTCTCTAGCATCATCCTATGGAAGTGCCGCTTCCCATAGTAGGCAGGAGTTTTTCTCGTTCTGCCGCGTGATTCGTGCCATTGCCTGGACGGCCCAAGGCAGCTAGCGCATCGCTCAGAGGGTCGTTGGCTGCTGGCTACAGGAGCGCAAGTGTACCGGCACCGACGGACGCAAGTCTCAAGCATGAAATGATTGGCAAAAGCACTCGCACCAGTGCCAGCAATGCATCAGTCCAGTCGCAAGTGATTCTAGCTGTTCAATTGTTATCGAAAGGACGAGGCACAAGGGGTCCCGCCATGGAAGGGACAAGGGCCGCGACCTCGACCGTCTCTCCGCGGTCAGAAGCATCTCGAGCCATTAAAGGTGGTGCCTCGCTGACACTGACGGTGTAAAAATTGGGATCGGCCGTCAAAAAATGCGCCAAGCTCGACGACTGGATGGATAAGGATGTGATTGCCCTACTAGCCAGCTCAATGCAGCGCAGCCACAATCAGGGCGGCAATGGTCAGGAGCAGAGGCCAGCTGGTCGGGCTCCAGAGCGCGGCGCCGCTACCGTCCAACGTGTTATCGGCACCACACTTGAGGTGAGCATAGGTGTAGCCCAAGACGTTGTTGGCGCCGTCATCATCACCCGAGTCGATAATGTCTTCAAACTCCAGGCACTCGTTGCTGCGCAGGGCAATCTTTTGGCTGCTGCCATCGCACGTGTTTGTGCTGTACGTCAGGACCTTGACATCGTCGCTTTCACAGGCAAACTGGAAAGAGGAGCTGGGTCCCGAGGCCTTGCAGTCGCTCGACATCCACATGCGGGCTGGCGGGTTGGACGAGCAGTCCGTCGTCTCGTACAGCAGCATCGTGGCCACGGTCGACGCCGGTGCGCGGCCGCACTCAAAATAAAACGCATCTGCCACACACGTGCTAAAATCTGTCGTGCTGGTCACCTCCTGCGAGATGCGAGCGGAGGCCCGCGAGAGCAGGTCGGCGGCGTGAGAATGTGAGTCAAGGTGTCACTCACCCTTTGACCTTGTCCCCAACTCCTCGTCTGGCTGGTCCAAACCCGACAGGTCTCCAAGAGAAATACGTACCGTAGTGCAGGCAGCATCGGAATAAGTCGTGATGCGTGCCTGCAGGAGGTCAGCAGTGGCCATGCATATCAGCAAGCACAGACAGTATCAAAACACACTCTCAGAGAAAGGCACGGACAAGCAAGGAACGGCACCCAGCGCGAGATGAAAGCCTACGTTGCTGCCGCACACGGGCTTGACATAGAGCGTGCCCGCTTGCAAACATGTGTTGGTGGACACGGCTGTCACGCCCATGAAGGGGTCGTTGTGGTGGCACAGCGTCACCTTGGCGGCGTCAATCTCCACTACCGCCCGTGCCGAGCAGACTAAAGGAGAGCACAGGTGTCAACACCGACACATTGTTTATTGTGAGCTTCTCCAGACCAGGCGGGAGGGCGAGGGGAAGCACAGCGGGAATAAGAAGCGCACGCACCGGTCAGGGCCAGCAGAGCGAAGAGTCCTCGAAAGCCTTGAGCCATGGCGATGATGATTCAACAGGTAACGCCTACCGACCGGAACGAATGACACCTCTATGCAACTCAGATGAAAAAAAAAAAGGGAAAAAGAAAATGCTCAACTTGCATGCTCCACCGGAACTCCAACCCACAGCCGCCCAAAGCCAGCGAGCCAGTGAGCCAGCGAGCCGGCGGCGCAAGGGGGCGGAGCCGCGGCGATGCAAGAGCAGTGTGAGACTTTTCATCATTGTCCGCATTTAGATAGTTGATGCAGGTAAGATGAGAGTTATTGTAGTTTGACAAGGCTCTAGTGTGTTATTTACAGGATACTTTCCGTCGATATGGCTGTACAAGTTGCAGCAAGTAAGACCGGTGTTGATCGTTGTAAATTCATGTTCAAAAAAAAAAACGATGGGGAATGCTCGACGGCAGCGGCAGGGTGCGGGGTCTTTGGCACGACGCGCCGGCAGCATGACTTGATGCATGGATTGCGGCGGAAGGATTTGGTGGCTTCCTTATACTACACGGCCTTGCCTCTCCTTGTGACATGCACCGTGTTTGGAGCACGGCATGAGCAGCACACAAATCATTATGATTCATCAGAATTCTTGGCCGAAACGGCACACAGTTGGGCAGCCACGACACAAACACAGTTGAGCGGAAAAGTCAGTTCTCGGTTACACTGGGCGAACCTTGGGGCAAATCTGATCTCGTGCCGCAAGGCGTACGAAGAAAACGTCAAAACAAGTCAAAGAAAACCAAAACAACAACGACGACGACGACCACACCAATTCAAAGCAACAACGAGAAAGGCGGCATCCTTCCTGCGCTGCTCTATGGAGCCGGGCAGCCATCCGTTTTGTAATCATAGAAAATCTAGGCCCCAGCATTTGTCCGCAGCTCCGTCAGTCAACGTGCCAAAAGTGTCAAGGTCGACGATACGGAGGCGGAAAGCAAACATTGCGGCCAGGGCTTACGTTCCAGAACAGGGCGAAGATCACCCCCACTGTTGCAATGCCAATGCCCACCCAGGCCACGATGGCCTCATAGTCGGTGTTTCGCAAATTCTGCAGGACCGTACATGCGCCGCAGCATGGCCATCATGAAACGCAACTGGGACAGGCTGCCATGCGCAAGTTTGCAGGCACTGCACTGCTGTGACACACCTTGAGAATCCGGGTCCCAAGCGTACAGCCCATGATAAAGCCCGCCAGATGACCAGTGTAGGAAATGTTGCCTGAGATAAGGAGGGGACCGGGGTGTGAGGGCTCACTTGCGACTGCCACACAGGAGTGCCTAGATGCGACAGGACACTGGCGCCAGAGTCACGTACTGCCAGACTCGGTGCCGTAGCGCTGATACAAGGAGATGGAAAAGTCCATCACAAACAAGACGCCCAACACGATGGCACGTGGCCAGCGGAATGGCATCTAGATCATGCACCAAACCACATCGGTCAAAGTGGCATCAGAGTCCGTGGGGTCCCTTTCAGCAAAAGGCGCAAAAGAACAGACGGGAAAAAGAAGGAAAGCAAGCCTGAAAACTTGCAGGGCAGCACGGGCACGAAAAAAAAAGCGGCGATGGCTCACCTCGGACCAGTTGAGAAAGACATCGGCAACATGGGCGCCAACCAAGGCGTAGACACCAGCCGAGGCACTGTTTGCCACGATGGGGGTGAGTGGACGACAGATTGGTTCACCGAGCCAGACGATGGCAAGGAGCGCTTTCGGCGGAGACGCGTGCGCGAGACTACTGACCCGACGAGGTTGGTCTCCGGGTCAAAGACCGAAGAAGCAAGTGAGCCTGCCAGGCCACCCACGAGGTAAACACCACAGGTACGAAGGGGCCCATGTACCATCTCAAGAGGCACGCCAACTACAATCTATGTTCAGAAAACAATCACGTGAGATGCAACAACAGGCTACGCACAGAGAGAGAGAGAGAGAGAGAGAGAGAGAGAGAGAGAGAGAGAGAGAGAGAGAGAGAGAGAGAGAGAGAGAGAGAGAGAGAGAGAGAGAGAGAGAGAGAGAGAGAGAGAAAAGGCAAGATACGCAAAGAGCCTAGATACTCAAAAAAGCAAAGAAAAATTAAAAACAAAAACATGGCGGGGCTTGGGGCTCGGACAGGACCTGCAGGAGAACGTTGAAGAGGATGTGCGAGATGCCGGCGTGAACGAGCATGTAGGTGATGAAGCGCCAAACCTCTTCCTAACAAAAACAGGAAAAAAAAAGGAAAAGCAAAGGTTCGTAAGACAAGGAAGGGAACATGAGGGACTTTGAAAGGATTGCAGATTAAAAAAATAAAAGACCGTGGGGTAACTTTTGGAGAAGCAGCAGTCAGGACGAGAGCAAACACGCACGCGGCAACCGGGGCGAAACGCCAGTTCGCTGCTAAAGCTGAGGGGACATTCCAAGCCCACGTTGTCATGGTCGTTGGGGCCGCATTCACGCTGAGCAAAATAAGCAAAGAGCTGCAAATGTCAATGGGGGTGGCAAGCCAGGGGTGGGCAGCCATGAGAGAGGTGACGGCAAAGCGAGCGGGCCCCGGAAAAGTCACTTTGCAAGGACCGCACGCATGGTACGCACGGCAATCTCAACAATGGAAAAGCAAATCATAAAGAGCGGCGGCGGCCAAAACTTGTACGAGGCTAGATAGCTGTCAGACTGAGTTGTGCGGTGACGAGAAACAGGTGTGCGGGGTCAGATGCATCAACACCAGGGGGCAGGCGGGCAAAGCACAGGTGTGGCTCGGCTGTGCAGCCCGAGTCCAGAGGAGGGGCGCCCTTGGCAGGGTGGAGCAGTTTAAAAAAGGCTGTACCTCGTCATCGTTCTTGCGCACGTAGGACTTGGCCACGAGGCGAATGAGGGCGCTGGCATAGACGGTGGATTGCCCCCGACGGTTGGTGGTGTAGACGGTGGCTTCGGCAAATTCCTAGCGAGAAACGGCGAGACTTGACGTCAAACGGGTCGGGACATGAAGAACGTGTTGGACAGCGTTGAAGCGTACCTGGAAGCTCACGCGACCGTCGCGCGAGTCGTCCAGCACGTTGAGCACATGGTCAGAAGACACACCTGGAGAGGAGGGGGGAGGGGGAGGCGGGTGCTTTTTTGAGCGCCAGACGATACTGTGGGGCAGTCGTGGCCCAGCAAAGGGCCAACGCATGCTGTGCAGAGGGATTCATGTGAGCATACCGGCAAATTTGACCTTTTGAGCGGCTTGAGTCAGCTCTGTGCGATTGATGTAACCCGAGTTGTTTGTGTCAAACTAGGGTGGCAGCGAGGCATCGGCGTCAAGGGTCAAGCCGGTCGGTTGGCGTTTTGAAAAGCTAAAATAAAAAGCAAGCAAGTCCTGTGCGCAGGTGCAGGGTGATACCAAGCGGAAGACGCGTCGGAGTTCCTCGATTTGCTGCTGCGTGAGCTAAAGAAGGCCGGCTCAAGGTGAGGAGCGGCGGCCTGGCCACGGTCACAGCAGTTGCAGCCGTCGCGCCCGCTGGCACGTACACCGAGGTCGTCGGTCAGAACAAGCATCGCCATGGCCGCGTTTTCTATGCTGCTGGGCCTGCAGGGGAGCCAACTACCGGGCGGTTGGGTTGTCATGTGAGCTTATCCAGGGCGTTCAGGGTCTGATTTTTCAAACAAGAAAAACAAGAAAGAAAAAGCACGTGACGCATCGCCCAGCCCATTGCAGAGCAAGGACAGTTGGGTCTGCCTGGCTCAGGGGGACGAGGGATTCATGAGCGTCAACTCTCAGACAAGATCCCCGGTCCCGGTCGAGCGAGATCCAGCCAATTTGCCTTGGTGCCTCTACCCCATCCCCATCCCGTCCAACCCCACAACTTGGAATCCCCCACATCACCACAGGGACACAAACACCCCCCAGCCCCTTCCATCACAAGGAGCACACCGCAGGGCACACAAGACCACGAGAGAGAGCACCAGAGCCCCCACCGCCCCCCGTCGCTGAGGGAAGCGAGCGCGCATGGACCGCCAAACGATCACGCCCCCCCCTCCTCTACCTCTGCAAAGTTTAGTCTTGAATTGAGAGAGAGAGAGAGAGTTTTGAGAGAGAGAGAGAGAGAGTTTTGAGAGAGAGAGAGAGAGAGAGAGAGAGAGAGAGAGAGAGAGTTTTTTGGGATGTGTGTGTGATATTTAAACTCCACAAGGAACGGCAAAACATGCTCTCACACGCACACGGATGCACGCAGCGGCTGCCAACAACAACAACAACAACAACGAGAGGCTAACATGTACATGTAACCTCCGATGTAAAAGTTTAAACTTTGTAACACGTTCGTAAAAGTTTAAGAAGCTGAAGTTTGTAAACTTTATGACATTCGGTGCCGAGCTGGCATGACCAGGAAATAACCTGTTGTCAACTACTGTTGACAACGATTCCGCCCTGCCCGCCCCTTTTCGCGTCTCTTTTGTTCTCGTGGGGCGCGGACCGCACTTTTTTTTTGCAAACGGCAGCGCGGGCGGGATCCGGGTGCTTTTGCCTCTTCGAGCGTGATTCGTGCAGATCATTTCGACGGGAGGTGATTGATCATCGTCTCAGAGGGATCCAGGGTGTCGTGTGGTCTCTGGCTTTTTTTTTATCGCTTTTTTATTCTTGGTACGCCTTGGTTGCATGCCGCCCCGCCCTCGTTGCCGATCGATCCCCGCGTGCAAGCGCCTGGACGTGTGAAGGGTGTCAAGTGATGCCGTGTGGCAGTGTTCAACCGGTCATTGCTTGTTGTTGGTTGTTATTGGCCTCAAGGGGCCAGCTGCTTCCCTCTGTTTTTTGTTCTTCTAACCCTGTCTCGATACGACTCACTTCTTGGCCACAGACCCCACCAAGCAAGACCTTTCACCATGTCTAGCGTCGTCGCCTGTCACGAGTGCAACAAGCCCGTACACAACCGGTACGCTCAACTCGGTCAAATGAAGGCAACCAGTCATTTTTCCCGAGCGCTGGGCCAGAACACACGCAAATTCGGTCTGGCCTCATCCCTCATTCTTGCCCGCCCTTACACCTCTCTGGCGTCTTTCGCGGCATCAAACTTAGGTTCTGCACACACTGCGGTGCCCAGTCCAAGGCCTGGAGCTCAAAGAAGATTGAGGGCGCTCCCACCACCATTGTCTTTGACAAGACCCTCTACCCTTACTGTTTGTTCTCTTGCCTCTTCTGCTGCCCGCTGCGCGTGGTGATTAGCAACAAGCGCGTGGACACCAGCCATGGCTGGTGCATGTCCAACCTGGATGTCATTGAGTAAGTTTCCTCCAGGGGCCTTGTCCATGGTTGCCAGCTTGCAGGCACGCAGACTCGTATCCGCGTGTCGCTTTGAACACGAGCCGCAAGCCACCATGTGCCAACCCGATCCACCACACGTCCCACCCGCGCTCTGACACTGGCTCTCCTCTTACCCCTTTAGCCTGCGCCGCATCACCGAGATTGAGTTTGACCGTACCGTGTGCGGCCTCTGTCTGGGCCGTGGCACCATCACGATCCATGCTTCTGATGAAACCAACCCCGTGACCAAGATCAGCTGCTTCCGGGCCAAGCAGGTTTACAAGGATCTTCGCACCGCCTGGAACAAGGCCAAGCTCAACACGGTCGTTTCTTAACTACCCGCTGCTCTGCTTTGCAAGCCGGGATGTTGTGTCGTACCTTTGATTGTGATGCCCCCTTTGTGATGCCCTTTCCATTGCCGAGTCGTGCTAGAAGAGAGGTTGCGGGAAGAGGCGCGGCGCGCGCTTCTCTGCCAAGAACAATCACAACAGCCGATTGTGTGGCCCCTCTCCTCAACGCCTCATGTCCGTTTTCTTCCAAGACCATTAATTCATGTTGATGCGTGCCTGCTGCCCCGTTTGCACGGCCTTTTTGTTGATCTGCAACCGATACACCCAGGGGACCACACCTTTCCGTGCTCGGCTACCAAGGAGAAAGTCAAAAGGCGAATGATGTCGCATGAATTGCACAAGTGCAACGCCAAACACGCAACAGCTAAATCGAGTGAACACACTACATTCTCATCTTCAGGACAATCGACGGACACATGGTTGTGTAGCAAGTAACATCACGGCACGAGTGGGTGTTGTTTACTCCGTTCAAGTTCAAGACCAAGGTTCTCCAAAGCGAGAGCGACTGATGGACTTGACACAAAGCAGGCAAGCGACAAGAGATGGAGGGGCGTGACCAGGGCGTGTGTTCACCAGGACTCCTCCTCACGGTCGCAAGCAAACGCCAGCTGAACAACACCAACACCAACGACGATGCCAGCACCAGCACAAGGCTGCAGAAAACACAAAAAAAGAAAAACAAGAAACCAAGCAAACATACACACACACACACATCCACACAAGGAAAAAAAACACAAACATCGACGAGTAGAAACTCAGGAATGGATGCCCAAGAATGCGGCAGATACCCCATCCAACACATCAGCAGAAGCACGAGTGTTTACTTGGTGCCATAAGTGCTGGCATCGCCATAGGTACCTTCGGCTTGGCCGTAAGTGCCTTGGGACTGACCGTAGGCACTGGCATCACCGTAGGTGCCCTCACCGTATGCGCCATCGCCGTAGTTACCCTCGTCTTGACCGCCAACGGTGAAGTAGGTGTCCACACCACCATATTGGTTTGGGGCTGCGGCATACTGGCCGCCATAGTCGCCGTATGTGCCCTGAGCATCGCCGTAGGTGTCACCATACGTTTGCATCACACCGGCCGTCGGTACTGGGTTGGCTGTGTCGTACAAGGGTTGACCACCCTTGCCCTCTGCGTCAGCAGCAGGATAGAAGGCCGATTAGGTAAGGCACTTGGGAGGATGAAATAAAGCCCAACTGAGATGGAGGACCGAGGCTCAGACAGACAGACACAACCGTAGACAGACATAGACAGAGAAACACATACAGGCACTAAAGTCCAACTGAGATGGAGGACCGAGGCTCAGATAGACAGACACAACCGTAGACAGACACAGACAGAAAAACACATACAGGCACAAAACAACAACAACAACAACAACAACAACAACAAAATAAACCCACACTGACACAGACACTCGAACGGGCACCAATCCAGTGATAGTTAAACCAGGTGGGAACGTACGGCTGTATTCGGGTTGTACGTCGGCATATTGTCCACCCGCACCACCGTAAGTGCCTTGCATGTCATCATACACGGGCTTGTGGGCTGTGGGGTGTTGCATCAGCGATATGAGCCATGTCTGCGGGGGCGGGCAAGACGCACGGGCCGGCGAATACTTACTATCAAATGCCTGGTCATAAATGGGGGCCTGCTCTTCACCAACCACATCATACTGGGCGGGCATGTGCTGAGCACGAGGCATGGGAGGCACGGGAGGCGCGTGTGCCTGCATGCCCTGACGCTGGCCCTTCGCCAAGAATGACTTGTAGCGCAGCTCAAAGGCCTGATCGTGAACGAGAGGTGGGTAAGCAAGTAGCCCAAGGTGCAAGCGAGCGAATATGGGAGGGTGGGAGATCAAACACAGCCTACCTGGCCAATGGTGACCATGATCTCGTTGGCACGACTGCCACAGTCAAAGACATGGCATTCACGGTTGTTACGCTGATCCTTGGCGATGTAGCCAATGCGTTCATAGGTGTTGGGACGATCACCAGTGGCAAAGGAGATGCTGGGCACAATATGGGTACCAATGATCTATAAAAGTACATCGCATGAGGATGGTGAGAGCATACGCACGTGTGCTTGCGGGGTTCAAGTGTTGCGCGCGCAGGGGGGTCGTGGCGAGGGTTGGAAGGTATGAGACGCACCTCGCCCGTCTCAATCACTTGAATGGTGAGGCCGGTGACGGAGATTTTGAGTCGCACGTTCAGGTTCATAGCCACGGGATCCTCTGCAAATCCCACGAGCGCAAAGAGATACACCGAAGCAGGGCAAGGAAATCAAAAGGAACAAGGGGAATGAGAGGCCATTCGTTGGGGCCGCAGAGAAAAGCAACGGGCAGCTGGTTCAAGTCATGGCGCGGGCAAGGGCAGAAAAAGGATCGAACCGACGAGGGTACGCTTCATCAAGGGCGTGGCTTGGCGGGTGACGGGGTCAACGACGCCGACGGTCTCAGAGACGAGTTGAATGGCCTCGCTGCGATTCCAGACCAAGTCGATTGACGTCAAGCAAACAGGCGGTTATTGAGAGGAGAAGGCGCTCGCTCGTGCAGTGCCGGGGTAGAGCGCTGGCTCAAACAAGGTACATACCGAGTCACGGCAGTACGATCCTCGAAGCGCATGGTGCGCATGCTCATGGCAAAGGGAATCTTGCCCAGGTACTATCATCACCCGTCGACGTGATGTTATTGACACAGCGTGGTTGTGAGCATTGGTTGGAGAACTGAACCATGTTGAGCCAAAGCAAGCGCAAAAGAAGTCTCAGGCAGAGGTGGTCCAAAAGGCAGGTTGCTCCAGCCGGGGTCTGAATCGAACCTTGACCGGGTAGACAATGCCATCGGGGGTCGAGAGGGCGGCATCGTGGTGGATCCAGCCGTTGGCAGGACGCTGCATGAAGGAACCCGAACGGTTCCACTCCTTCTGGGCGGCAGCCATGTTCAAAGAGAATGTGCAAAGAGGACGGCGACGCTTTGGAAAAAGCCAACGGCGAAGCTTGCGCGCGACTTGAACCCAAACTGCTCAAGACCTAAAAACGCCAAGTCGAGCCGAGTCGAGTCGAGCCGAGTCGAGTCGAGCCGAGTCGAGTCGAGCCGCGATCAGAGGATGATGAGGCTTCGATCGCCACAAAAAAAAAAAAAAAAAAAAAAAGGCCTTCTCCTGATCCATGCACAGCATCGACAGGCTTCTCTCTCTCCCGCCAGCTTGTTGAATCGGAGAGAGGCGGAGGGATCTCAGCACCGAGCACCAAGTTCCCGGCACAACGACGACGTCTTGGTGTTCAGTGACTCGAACCCGACGACGCGCTGCCATTTCTCTCTCTCTCTCTCTTTTTCTCTCTCTCTCTCTCTCTCTCTCTCTCTTTTTCTCTCTCTCTCTCTCTCTCTCTCTCTCTTTTTCTCTCTCTCTCTCTCTCTCTCTCTCTCTCTCTCTCTCTCTCTCTCTCTCTCTCTCTCTCTCTCTCTTACCAGCTGATGCGTAACTGTAACTTAAATCACACTTTACTTGGCTACAGTCTAACACACGCGAGGAACGTGATGTACCCTTGAATGTCAGATAAACACGTTGGACTACTTTAGAGGATGTATTTTAATAATGCTATTCGTCTGACAATTGGGTCTTGATGTCAGCAGCGTCGCGTTCGGGGTCGTTGACACACAAAGCGTGCCCGCATGATCTCTAGCTGAACACCTACGAACCTTGTGGCCTCATCCCCCAAACAGCATCTCTTCCACTTTCCCGGCCGGCCGTCACTGTCTCTGTCTCCATCAGCGGCAGAGTGTGTGCCCCCTGCAGCCGCAACCCTGCCTTCCTTCCTTCCTTCCTTCCCTCCTTCCTTCCCTCCTTCCAGAGTGAGTCACGTGCTTGAGGTGGACTGCCGTTTTTTTTTTTTTTGGGAGGCAGGCAGCGCTGTAGCTCCCCGCCACCCGGCGGGCGAGCTGGTTTGTGCCTGGTATAGAGCCAGGTTTCGCTTCGTGGCCCACCCTGGGGTCGCTATTTCGCGCGCGCTCATCGCCGCTTCTCCCTGTAGATCGTCTGGTGCATCTCCTCCGCTGGAAGAGCCACTGCCCGCAGTGGAGCTCTCGTTGCGTCGGCAGCAATTCTGATCGCAACTAGGTCTTGCAGTTTGAGAAGGAGAAGCTACAGTGCCATCATGCATCCCCAACTCTCCGAGCATCTGCACGTCATGTGCCGTGAATTTATCGAAGCGTTACACGAATGCCACGAAAAGGTTTGAAGACGCGGCAGCCCTCCGCCCCCACCCCTGCCCCCGCCCCCGCCAGTGTATTGTGTCTGGGCTCTGATGCGGTACCTTGCGCCACTTAGAACCCCACAACCAAGCTGGCAGGAGCCTGCAACGAGGTGGAGGCAGCCATGTCTGCCTGTTTGCGTGAAGAGGTGGGCCTGTCGTCTTACGCGGCGCCCGTACTGCCCTGCTTCGTTGGGCTTGCTCTCACATCTGACCGTGTTTTTGATGTGGCTAGCGTGCCAAGAACAGGGCAAGCAACGCCGCCAAAGCCAAAGCACGTCGCCAAGCTCTCGAGGAACGCCTTCGTGCTCAGCACAGCGACGAAGCGTGACCATCACTTGACTTTTTTGCAAACCACCTCGCCGCGTCTCCTTGCACCCCGCCTCACTTTTCATTGCATGGTCTCTCAGCCGCCACGAGTGCCTTTTTAGCAGAGGGCAGTGGCGGTTGTGGCTTGCCTCGCCCGCTGGTCGGGTTTTCACTCCCTGCTGTCATGTGGTGTCATCTTAGCCCTCAGAATACTCTGGTTCGGACAGGGTGCAGTGCTCGCCAATCCATGGTTGCTTATATGATGGCATTGTTTCACCACAATCATCAAGCATTCTCAACTGAAGGTGGAAACACACGCGCGCGTGCACGCGCGGCGCGCCCGGCGACGAGCATGTGCTTTGACCAGAGCCACAGACTTCCATGATCTCACACTCTCCTCGGGGCAGCCATTCACCACACAGGAGCACCAATAGAACACGCGCAACAACTTTAGACATGGATATACATACCACGAGCTCTAGGTCAGACAAGATTGGAACATACAACACTCTTGCCGCCCGCCACAACAATACAAAAACACTGTCAACCAGGAAATAAACCAAGCTTGGCGCCCCGAGGTGAGACGCAGTCTTGGTGCTCGGGGCTCGCGGTGGGCCGGTCTTTGCTCAGCAAGGACCAAACGAGCTTAGTTAGAATAGAGGGGCGGTCCAGGACCGGGGGCGAAGCGGCGGCGTTGCTGATGTACAGACTGGCCCCTGTTTTTGCAAGCGCTTGAGCGAACTCTGTTCCACAGAGAGAGAGAGAGAGAAGGTGAGACTGCAGTTTATGATGCGTTGCGTTCATGCGCGCACAGGTGGCAGGGGGGCATGGGAGCGTGTCTGCCGCGCACGACATACCCGGCCTTCAAGGCGAGAAGTGGCTTGCTTCAAGCGGGACCGTGGGGATTTGGCTTCAGCAAAGGCCAGGTTGGTGGGGGGCTGAACCCAAATCTGGGCGTCTAGACAAGTCATGTCAATGTTCAAGACTGTGAGGGATCATGGACAGTGATGGGCTGCACACCGGGAATAAAACTCCGCCGCACATCCCAGTCTGTGCCGGCCCTTGAGCGGATGGGTATCCTTGAAAGAAGCGATGAATAGACTCACGTTTAAGGTTCATGCAGTGATCGCAGAGCGCGCTGGGGGCCAGGATGGCCGAGGCTCCCGCGGCAAAACGATGGCCACATTGCTCGCAGGGGGTTTTGGAAGGCGAGGCCGCCACATACCAGTTGTCTGAGGGCTTGGTCGCTGGCTCCGGGGAAGTGAGGCGCGGGCCGGGAATGGGTCGCGCGGCAGACCGTTCAGGCAGGGCGACTGCTAAGTCTTGAAGCAGATCAATGGGCGAGGCATCAGCCAGCCCGGTCGTCAGGGGCAACGAAGAGCTCAACGCATTGAGCTCATTCATACTGGAGGGACGGGGAGGTCTGCCCGATTGATAATGGTGGTTTCCTCTGACGCGACGGCCAGCTGCAAGGCAGCACCGGGGGCTGTTGCTCGTGCGGAAGTAATGGCCGCCAAGGTGTAGCCTGACGCTCAAGCGGAAAAATGAATGGGCACGGCGGCGATCCAAAGCGATGTTCACATCAAGGAAATGGCGGTGTTGCTCACGAACGCACGCACGACAAGGGAGCACGGGCGTCCCTCAGACCAAATGAAAGCAAAAGGGCGCAATACCACAAGGGGGGGGGAGGGGAGCACCCGGATGAACGATGGGGGAATGGATGGCAAATGAGTCAAAGCGCGCCCTCGTCTCTGTGGAGAGCGCTCGCATGCAAGCCTGCAAAGGTGTGTATGTGTGTATGTAAACCGAGAAGACCGCAAGTGGAAACGCGCGCAAGGCCAGCAGCGACACCGATGCAGATACTGTCACCAAGTTGATAAAACGACAAGTAGGTCGTGGCAAGTCAGGGAGGTAGGGTGTGGGTAAATGCCCTCTCTGTGTGAGCAAGTCAAGGCTGGGCGGCGCAGCTGAATCGGTGTGTGTGTGTGTGTGTGTGTGTGTGTGTGAGGGGGAGGGAGAGGGAGGGAGAGGTGTGCCTGTGTGTCTGGCTCGGGGCTTGGGGAGGTGTTGGGTTGGGGTTGGAGCCTGTTCTGTTGCACTTGATGGTGTGTTTTCGAGTCTCTGATCCTCTTTCCAGCATGAGCCTATTCTCTGGTTTTGCTTGGGTTTATAATGATGGAAGAAAACTGATTGGGGAATATCTCTGACATACTACTGCCACTTGAGCTTGCCTCTGCATGTAGGCGTCGAAACATGCGCTTGCGTGGTGGGCGGAGCTTGTGACAAACTTCCCCAAGCTTCCGGGATCGCGAGCAGCAAACGCGCAGGTCCAACGACACTGCCCCGGCCGTGTTGCCAATCAGGCATCAAGAACCCTTGCCCCCTTTTCCCCCTTGAACACAAGAATACCAGCCAAGAGCTCGCCATCCGACAGCAACCCGCTGCCATTTTCCGTAAGCAGAGCGTCATGGGGGATGCAACATCAACAAAACTCCCTGACACTCCTTGCAAACAAAAGGACTCGATGCACCCAAGGTTGCCGGCGATTGAGAAGATGACGCTATTAGTGGAGAAGATGCAGAAAATATGATTATTAACGCCATGTCGCGTTCTACACAAATCAAGAAAACGACGAGGATGTCACCTTAAGTGTCGAATATCACAGAATTATTGTTCCATACGTTGATTCTGATGGGTCTGCGCGATGCCTGCCTGCTTGCTCGTTCTGGATGCTACCGCGGTGATGTGGTCGTCGCGAGCGTTGGTGGAGAGGGGCTTGCTTCGCATTGTTTCGCAGAGCACCAGTCAAGGGCCGCTTGATTGATGCGGCAGCGCATGCAAGGCGGGCCGGTTGCTTTCGCATGTCCGCACTCTCCTTGGGAGCGGACAGGAGCAGGTGATTCGATCTCGGTCGCTCCATCCCTCATGAACATGAATCACAAGAAAGCGCGAGGGTCACTTTCCGCCACAAAAACGCAACAGCAGCCTCAAATCTGGGCGAGTTGATCGATCCACCCTCGAAACAAGGGGTGCCCCCTGTGGACATGGGGCGGCATGAGCAAGCAACAGGATCGATCTGCTTCGTGTCGGCGCAGGCGACAATGCTCCATGCCGTGCCAATGACGCGCAATGGAAGCTGTTGAGATCATTCTGCAACGTCTGTCAACCACATTGGGCAGCTGCATTGACAACTTTGTCCCCTTGACCGGCCATGTCATCAGTCCGATCGAAAAACGACAGGGGAAAAAGAAAAGAAAAGAAAAGAAAAGAAAACAAAAAACAAAAAACTGGGATCGGTATTAATGAATAGCTTTGCAGGCAAGTGGCAGAGCTCTGTCTGCGGCATCAGCAGACAAGGGCAAGGACATGTTGTGATTGTATTCACAAAATTTGAAGATGTCTGGGCATCATGCCGTGAGATTCCGAGGGACAAGGTATAAACGTCTTTTTCAACTGTATAAAAATTTTAATTGTTTGGGCTGATCATAAAAATTGAAAACACAAGCATAGCTGGCGGCGCACGCGCTCAACAATAGAGAAAAAGCATTGGCGCCATGTCACCCCTTAAAAAGACGGCACATTGGCACGACATCTCGAGTCGTCATCGCCCCGCAGGGGCACAGGTCAAACAGGCTTAAACAAGCTTCTTGGCCTCGAAAAAGGATTTGAGGTGGCGAACCTGCCACAAGGCTGTCAGCACCAAGACCAAAGCTTGGGCAATTGACCAGTAGAGGACCCGCTCATTGGTCGAATGGCTGATGGACCGGAATTCAGCCTCACGGCGCTAAAGATGCAAAAACACAAAACGCACAACCAGCGTGAGCAAAAGAGCAAAGAAACGTTGGCAAACAAAGCAAAAGCAACAGCAAAAATAAAAGTAACATGCCACAACGAGAGCAGGACGATTTGCAACACACCCGTTGGTAAGCTTGTTCACTCGAGAGGGACTTGGCTTGCGAGATGAGCTGGAAGAGACGAGTCTCAATCTACGTGGGATTGACCCAAATGCAAAAGGGTGAGACCAAGTGCAGTGCATCAAGCCGCAATTGCACGTCAAAAGGTGATGATAATAAGAGGGTGTAGCGAGTGGTAAAAAAATCCACGACACGACTTTTAATAACGCATCGGGGACGAACAAGCCCGCATATGGTCTTCGCGACGAAAAGAGTGGTTGGCAATGCACAAGGCGTTGATCCGGAGACCAACATCCCCACAAGCAAGGCAGGGGGGGGGGGGGTTGATGTGTGTTTGTATGATAGAAATTATAGGGGAAGAGGAGGTTGAACAAACAATAAAAAACAGTAGCAGCAAAAGACATAGGCAGAAACTGATGTCTTCTTGACTTACAGCTGAATAAGACTCCTTCTTGGAAATCGTCTGATAGTCGTTGGCTGACTCGCCCACCAGCAACTGAAGAGTGACACGCTATCGACAAGATAAAATGAAAAAAACAATCACATGAGTGTACGGGTATGGGCATGCCACTATTGCTCTGAACCAAGTAAGGAGCTTACCACGGTGCGGGCGGAGAACCAGCGGGTCGAGTTGGTGTGAAGGCAGATGGTATGCTCACCAGCCTCGTGCGAGGTGAAAGCAAAGCGTCCCTCGGCTATTGAAGAAAGATGAAAATAACATTGATGAGAACAGGCATGAGCCACAGACAAGGCAAGACGTCACAAAATCCAGTGACAAGAAACAACTACACAATCTCACCTTCATAGTCCTTGGCCATCAGCACATCATCATCGGGATCCGTAATCTAATTGACAGCATTCAAGAATTATTCAGAAGACAAAGAGAGCAAAGCCTTTGAATGGCCACTGAATGCCAAGGCGATGGCCCAAAACAAGACAAACCAACCTGAACGTGAATACCATAACCGGGCGCCGTATCACTGAACGTGCCATCATCACGCTGAGGCTGTACTTTATACTTGCCTGTGAGCAAGACGGGCAAAGGACAAGAGGTAAGCGGAGCGTGTTACAAGCGCAAACCAAGTCACAAAGCGCCGTGCAACGGCCACGGCGGCAATGCCGGCGTGAGACGTACCAATCACAAGAGTTTCATCGGGAATTTCCTCGATAAAGCATCGCTCCTCGTTCTCCTTGATGTGAAAGTAGAGCCCAGACACGGACGACACCATGCTCAAAGCGAGCATGAGCGACGCCAGCGCTGCCATTCTCCCACTAACCGCCATGGTTCTTTCCCCCTCCCGGTCAGTTTCCACTGACACGACAACAGAGAGAGAGAAAGAGAGAGAGGAAGAAAATGAAAAAATCCAGCACCTGTAACCAAACGTTAGTGCGGTGCACACCCGTTGCTCCAAATTTTGAATAACTTTCGACCGGTTTTTCCGATTAGAGCTGATTGACATGTGAGTCAAATGATTCTGACATTTTAAAATGGATCACATTTTAAAATGAATGAGCCACACGGACTGCCATCGTGTCGTATGGGTTTCTGGGCGCTCATTGGCTCGAGGGCAACTCGCATGGATCCGAGCAGCAACCTTCACTCTCTCTTGTTTTGTTTGTTTGTCATTTGATAGCCCGGCAGGAAACGATTCACAATGACATTGGTACACAGACTGAACTTTTGAATTGATGACCCAGCAAAGCAAAGTGCAAAGGGAGAACGAACAATGAAAAACAACAACAAGTCAAGACAATCGGCCACGGCACTTTAAGACCAACTGTCAGAGTTCGAGCTTTTTTGGGCGAGTGTCCGAGGTTGCTCTTGAAGGCTGCTCCTTGCGACCTGTAAAGCCGAGCTGAAATTCGGCTTGGCTGTGAGCAAAATCCTTTTCGTAGTCGTCATAGTTCCACTTTGAGATGCCCTGAGTTCGGATGTCTCGAATCTTCTTGTACTCCAGGATCCGAAAGCAACTGAGACACGGAAAGTAGTTGGTGTAGATCCGTGCCTCTCCAAGATTGGTCACCTTTGAGAACAGAACAGCATTGCATTCAGCATGGATGACATAGGGATACTTTGTGGTATGCTGCTGGCTCTGCTTCTTGGTACGAGGAAGATCAAAATGCGTGGCTTGACTGCGGAAAGCATTGTAGCCATAGGATATGAGCACATCGTCTTGAACCAGAGCAGCACCGACACGGCGGTCAGAATCTTCGCTCCTCAGTGACACAAGATAAGTCACAAGGTAGCCGACAATATCCATCATGTCGAGTTCTTGGCAGCTTTCTTGAGCGGCCCAGGGCCCATAGAGGCGAGAATCTCGACCAAAACTTGACTTGAGGTGTTTCAAATCTGTGGGACGAAGCTTTTCGGATGAAAAGTCGGGTGTGAACCAGAGAAGGTTCAACAAGGCCTTCTGAAAGGCTTTAAAACTCTTGGAAGCCTCCTGATGCATATCTTCATAGTCCGCGACGAGCTGTTTCATTTTGTCTTCTGTCAGCAATTTCATGGAAGAAATCCAATCTTGAGTAGCATACCAGCGGTCACTCCGTTTTTCTGCGACTTTGCCAGGCGTGCCGATAGAGTCAGCCACTGGTGTCTTCTCGCTCGGAAAATTTATCTCTGGAATCAAAGTTGACACCATGGTCGGGCTGGATCGGCTCAACCGCGACCAGATAATCTGGTTGCCTCCTGCAGGTTCGGCAGGCAGGCCTTTATTGGCTTCTTGAGGCAGAGTCCCTCCTGTAGGTTCGGCAGGCAGGCCTTTATTGGCTTCTTGAGGCAGAGTCTCTCCTGTAGGTTCGGCAGGCAGGCCTTTATTGGCTTCTTGAGGCAGAGTCCCTCCTGTAGGTTCGGCAGGCAGGCCTTTATTGGCTTCTTGAGGCACAGTCATGGCCACGGGAACCAGAACGATGCGTTTCAAATTGGCTTGGAATAGGAGCTTGATTGTATCTTCCGTTTGTGGAAAATTGGCGAGAAACAAGGTGCCGCCTGCACACGCATGGAGACCATGGTCATAAAGCAACGCAGCCGCCGCATCCATCAGAGGAGCGCGGGCACGGGCTGCAATGAATTGCCCGGCCTGATCTAGGAGTACAGCTCCCTCACCCTGAGGACCTTCGGATAGCAAGGCCATCGCAACAGCCAAGGTTCCATGGATACTGTCCTTGTGTGGTCGAGAAAGCAAGCTTTTGGTTTCGGTTGGCGGGGGCGAGCTTGTGCTTTCGGTTGTTGGGTCATGAGGGGGGGTCGAGGGGGGTTGAGGGAGCTTCTTCTGATCAGGCTTTGACTTCTTTGTGGCTGGTGAGCCCTCCATTTTACCGGCTTCAAACACTTGTTGACCAGTGATCCGAGGAGTCGCCGGCTTCAAAGATGAAAACTAGAATCGGAATCATAACAACACACAACATCACATAGGCGTCTGACGAATTCAACTTTGGTTCTGAAAGTCAAACAAGCAAAAGCTTTGAATACATTTTCATCCAAAAATCAATTCACACTTTTGAAAGTAATCAGAACAACAACACCTGTTTGCAACAGGTGTTGCGTTCACCTGTTTATTTTTTGATCTTGAGGTGACGTCGACGGCAGCGCGCCGAGATGACCGGCGCGCTGGACGGCTGGAAGGAGGGGCTGTTGACTCGTCTCTGCGCCGTAGACTGGGCAACTGTTCTTATTTGATGTCATACTTGATACTCATCTCTCTCTCTTTCTGTGTGTAGGGTATCGCCGACATGAGTCAAAAGGAGGAGACAAGCCCAGCACCCGATGCGGTGGACGCGGCTGCGGCCGCCAAGGAGGCCGCCGAGGCTGTCAAGCGCAAGTTTGGAAGCGATGGCAGCTTTATGGAGCGTTTCAAGCGCATGCAGGCGGCCAAGGCTGCTGCCAATGCAAGCTCGGCTCCTGAGCAACGTGACGCTGTCACACCAGCAGTCCAAGAGCAAAAGGGGGCTGCAACCGCCAGCGCCCCAGAGACCGACAGCGAAGCAAAGTCCAAGGTTGCTCCGGCTCCAGTTGATCCGGCCAAGGAGAAGGCGGCTGCAGCCATCGAAGCCAAACGCAAGGCCCTTCGTGTAAGGCTTGACAAGATGCGCTAACCACAACACTTCTCTTCTGTTCTGGTCTGCCCTTGTTTTGACTCTTTGTGTGACTCTCTGTGTGCCCGCGCAGCAACGAGTTGTTGCCTGATCTCGCTTGCAAAGGGAAGGGGGTCGTGGGAAGAAGAGGCACCTGCTGTGGTGTCTGTTGCGTACACAGCCTTTGGGCCACATGTGGGGGGCGACTGACAGATATCAAGGCGGCTGCTTGTTTGGCCTGGTCTGGCGCGATTTTTGTTGTTCCACCCGTGTGTTCGTCCGTCGTGATTTTTCCCCCCTGTGCCGACGACCACGACTCAACACCCCGAGGTGGCCGATCCGCAGGCGAAATCGTTTGACCCGTCGACCATGACGAAAAAGTCGAAGCGTGAAGCCAAGAAAGCTCGCGAAGAAGCGGAAAAGGTTAGGGCCCCTATTTGCTGTCGTCTTGTGGATTGAACATGTTTGTCTTCTCCTGCTTTTTCTCTTCTCATGCTTTTGCGTCTCAATCTGGCAGGGTGGCAACGATGCCTGGTCATTGTACATGAAAGAGGTGGAAAAGTACGAAAATGCCACCTGCAAGGAATACCAACAGGGTGCCATGGTCAAGTAATCCTTGGTCCTTGGTTTGCATGATGTTGGTTTTGATATCACGGACCGGACCCAACGCTCTTGTTGGACCCCTGTCGCTTCTTGTTGTATTCCCCGTGGCGCCGTTCCTCTGGCTGGCTCCTTTGAACCAAGCGCGCTGTGCGCGTCAATTGCGAGCCACCTGTGCCCTTGTTTTGTTTTGGCGTTTGACTCGATGCGTCTTCGCCCTAGCTCTTCTCGTCAATTGAGCCCGTTCTCGACCGTTGCCCCCACAATCACCAAAAAAACACAGCTCACCAGCACCTTTTCCCCCTCCCCAAAGCCACATCACCGCTCCTGAACGACACGCTTTCCTTTCCATCATTAATCTCACGAGGTGACACCTGTCGCCACACACACTTGCACACACACTTGCACACACACAGACACAGACACAGACACAGACACACACTTGCACACACACACAGATACACACACACACACACACACACACACACACACACACACACACACACACACACACACACACACACACACACACACACACACACACACACACACACACACACACACACACACACACACACACACACAAACTCTCAAACCTCCTTGCCTTACATTTTTCCACTTTGAACAAGCAAGGTCAGTCAGTCAGTGTGTGGCACTCACTGGCAGCCAGGAGCCCTCTGCGTGTGTGTCCCTCTGTGTGTGTGTGTGTCCCTGTGTGTGTGTGTGTGTCCCTGTGTGTGTGTGTGTGTGTGCCTCGTTTGGATCAATTCAGGGTGGTCTTGTCTTGTAGACTGGATGGCTGCTGGATGAAGGGGGAGGTGTCTGTCTGCTGTGTACTGATATGGCGCTGGCGGGGCAATGAATAGGTTGCGGAGCACGACAGGAGCACCATGGCGCATCACATCAACATGACGGTTGGCTCGTTGGTCATGGCCGGCGGCGTGGCTGGTTACATCAAGAAGCGCTCCAAGGCCTCTTTGTACGTGCTTTGATCGACCAAAGGATGTGCTGTGCTCCATCGGGTGCTCATCAGATCCGCCGGCGCCATCGCATTGACATGGACATGCCAGGATTGCTGGCGTGTCGACTGGCTTGATGTATTTTGGCACCGCCTATCTCCTCACTCATGATCAGGAGCAGCTCGGTCACGATCTGGCCGTTGGCCTCTCCATCGTTCTCGGCGGTGCCATGGCCAAACGGTGCGTCGCACAACAGCAATACGACTCACAGTCCTCGTGTCCAACCCTGCACCACCTGGTACAGGCCTCACTTCCGCACAATCCTTGCTGCCATCTACCCGGTAGCGCTGTCACGGCCGGCAAGTTTATGCCTGGTGGCGCCGTTGCCATCCTTGCAGGCGTTGCTGCCGTTTACAACGCCAACAAGTCGTACGAATGGCGCAACGGCATCTCCTTTTAGACCCCCTCCCTCCCTCCGTTTTTGCAGACAAACGACATGCTCCTCGCACCCAGCGTGTCAATCGTGGCCAGGTGCCGCAGCGACAGAAGAATTGAACCCCACTCCTTCCTTTTTTTTTTTTTTTCATGAGTGGATCCTCCCTCTTGATTGGCTTCTTTAGAGTAGAACTGTGTGCCTGTTTGCTTTAACCCTGAATTAGCTTTCAGCCCCCCTGTGATTGTTCGCCGCCGCCATCATGGTCTCACGTCCAGTGCATCACTCAAAGACATGCCCTTCCAGAGCCTGCATGAGATCGGCCTCCCACGCCTGTGATTCAGGATGCACCAATGTTAGAAAGGAGCCCCGAGTACGCTTGAACTCTCCCAGCCCATGCTTGACCCAGTTGCATGCGCACTCACGTCATCAACCTCAATAGCCGCCTCGGACCGGGCCTTGCCGACCTCGATGCCGTACTTTCGACGATAAATGGCCTTGATGCCCGCGACAATATTGGTGCCCCGCTCGTGGCAGCGACACTTGTCCAGTAGCACGGCAATGTTGCGGTTCATCTCCACCTGGCACGTCTTGGCCGTCTGCGCACATGCATGTTTCAAAATCAATCGTAACTCAACAAGCCTCCACTCATGTGCCAGTCAGCAAGCCGCGTTGCAGGCGAGACATTCATACCTTCACGTCTCCCGCCATAAAGGCCTTGTATAGGCGTACGGCCAACTTGGGATGAATGTTGTCTGGCACAGACACGCGCGTCAAAAAGCAGCACGCAGACATCAGTCAGAAGGGTGTGCAGGGCCACTCAATCCTCAAAACATGGCAACGTACAGGTGCTGCCAATGGCGCCATCGGACGACATCATGAGACCAGCCCCCATCATCTCGTCGGGGCCAGTCACACAATTGAGCTCGCCATGGCTCAGGTCCACAATCTGCTGAAAGCAGTAAAAGTTCTTGTCCGTAAACTTGAGTCCAGCAAAGTTGGGCACGGTCTTCATCGCGGCCAAAAACTATCATCAACCCAATCACCGATGCATATCAGCACGGCCAAACTAGCCAGTCGGGTGCAGCGTTTGTCGAGCTATACCGTTTCAGGCGTTGACGACGGGTCCACCTGGCCAGCAATCCAGTAGACGTAAAAGGGCAGCTTGGTGGCACTATCAATGACAACACCGGTGAGAGGGTGGGCAGTTGGAAAAAAAGAAAAGGGTGCCTGTGTCTGTGGCCCCCCGTCGATCAAGCTCGTGCAGCTTACCCCGCCACCGTTTGCCAGTACGTGGTCGCGTTTTTCAGCGAGGGCGCCTGGCCTGGAGGCATGACTGCAGATATGGTCAAGATTTGAGAGGCGTAGCAAATACCCACGCTGCACACAGTAGTGTCTGACCCATCAGCTGGAATCAAGAAGGACAAGCATGAACGACATACTGCTGGATACGGCATGTGCCCCAACGCTTTCAGCATGCTGGGCCAGCGCCACAGCGTCCTCGACATTGGCAGAAGCCACCATGACAACGACGGGCAACTACCAGAGCCACAGCATGCCCTCGTGATTTCATGCCCAAAACTGGAGCTGGGGCAAGACCAAAAGCCAGGCTGGCCCCATAGCAGGTGGCGGAAGAGAACAGATCACGTACTGTCGAGTTGTGCTTTTTTAGGCTGTCCATTGTCGCAGCCGTCATGGCCTGGGTTGGCCAAGTCGTTTGCACACAAAGAGAGGTGAGAAGAGGCTCATCCATGCAGCTGGAATTTGCTGAACCCCCGGTATCCCGCGAGATCGGGCCTACCTGGCGCTCGGCAACGGTGCAGACCAGACCCTCCCCCGTGGAACCGCAAAGGTAAAAGCCACACACGCCAGCGGCAATGTGGAACTACGACGCATTCCGATCCAGCACGGCCCAAAGATATGCGTACGCGCGAGTGAATGTGAGTGTGTGTGTGTGTGTGTGTGTGTGTGTGTGTGTGTGTGTGTGTGTGCGCACACAGGTGCGAATACAGCTCCAGCTGGGCAGCTCGCGGTAGTCTCTGAACTCACACACACACCTGGACCATGGCATCCACAGCCACTACATCAACCTGATTGTCGGCTGTGAAGGGAGTCACCAAAGCAGGTGCGATACCCTGAATGGATCACATGCCGAGTAAAATCAGAGTGCCAACATGCCCAGCGCGCCACACCCCAGCAAGCCATCGAGCCAACCTGAAGCAGCTTGGTCGCCATGACTGCAAAAGCTATCACACACAGAGTCACCCGTAACATGAGCACATTGACACCCCATGTAACCGCTTCACCTCTGATCCTGATGCCCCAGCCATCCACTGACCCCCTGCATTCAGATTTGATCCGCACTGGCCTCGATACATCCGCCCTCCCTGCTCTGCCCTCCCTCCATCACTCAAATCACTGAAGAGACCTATATATGTCCACTTACTTTGTTAATGAAAAAAAAAATGGCTGACACACACACACACACACACACACACACACACACACACACACACACACACACACACACACACACTTTTTCATGGCTTTGAATGCTTCTGCCTTAGCTTGATCTTGGCACAGGTACATGGAACTCTTGACCTGATGTGGAACAGCTATTAGCGAGCCAGTGGGTGGAGCAGAGGGGTCAGGAGTCGGGGATAAATTACTATGATCAGAAAATTTTAGCGCTCACAAGCTGCTCTCGTCCGTGGGCTCTTCAAAATCGATGTTGCGTGACACGGTCTGATGTGTGAGCTGTGATTGAGCGGATTGCGCAGCCTCCTGCACCTCGCGTGCCGAGGGACGTGACCCATAATTTGGATGCCACATGGCTATTAGTGTACGGCCAAACGCTGGCGGAATAGCTGTGGTGTCCAACCGGCGTCCCGCAGTTAGAAACTCTAACAACATTTGCAGCGAGAGACTCCCGTAAGGCGTGGTACCACCATGAAAAATCTACCCACAGTTGTGAAATGCCAAAAAAGACAAGTAGCTTCATGAGCCAATTGAACCAAAGTGAAACATGCGGGCGCAGAGGATCGGGGCCAAAAAAAAAAAAAAAAAAAAAAAAAAAAAAAGCGTCGACCTAAGACACATCGGCCAAACACTCACGCACCTCCCAGGCGGTGACGCCAAGGGACCAGACATCCGACTCTGGAGAGAAACGTGCCAATGAAAGCGTTTCGAGTGCCATCCACCTAGAACACGCCAGCTAGCCGTGAGCAAGTGTCATCGCGCGTGCCTTCCTGTCAAAAGGGTCGAGCAAGACGCGGCTCTCGAAAAAACAATAGCAAAACTCCAGACCGAAATGGCATGTCCTCCATGCTGACGGCTCGGTAGTAGTTCTGCGCGTTAGCTATGTATCGACCCACTGCAAACATCCCACCACAATCAAAAGCACGCCACGCCCTCGGTGAGACCAAGTCTTCAAAACATTAGCGGCATTTGGGACTGTCAATTCAACCATGCCGCCGCTGTCTCGCCGCTCTGCGCCCGTTGAACCCGGGCACTTACAGCCAAAATCGGCCAGCTTGGCCAGAGGCCCCTGTGTTGGATGAGAAAAGAGTAACACGTTTCGACAGGCCATGTCACGATGCACCAGACGACAGTCGTGCACATGCTGAAGACCCGCGGCCACTTGCGCAATCCAAGCCAGCTGGCAAAATGGCCCGGAACCAAGGTCAGAGGGTAAAACAAAGAGTTCTTCTATTTGGGCTGCTAAAATATCGACACGAACCGCTTGAGTTGCGACTGGGGGCTGCTTGGTTTGCCGCAAGAAGCTCCGCAGATCACCGATATCAGAATACTCGAGCACCAGCGCGATGGGAAAGCTGCTTGACGCGTGGCATCGGGTATACGGCCCACGTGAATCGCGTTTGTGTCGTGAGCAGGATGCATACGAGCAAACAAACAAACAAACAAACAAATAAAAAGATTTCCATCCGTGCACGGTCAAGCCATCTTGGAGTTGGCAAGGAGAAAAGGGCCAAGCAGGGAACGAGAGGCGCACCTGTCGTGAACAGCTGCAAGCAGGCGCACAACATTGGGATGGTCGCCAACCACGTGCATCAACGCCGCTTCCATCATGATGGATTTGTAATCTTGTATCTGCATGCCATCAAAGGCCTTCAATGCGACCTTGGTCTGTGCCAATTTGGCTGCAGGAAGAGGAATGGCCTGATGAACGGTGCCAAAGTGCCCTTGACCGAGCAGCGGTCCCAAACGCAGATCAGATCTATGACGCAACCACAGGCATGGTCAGTTCTCGAGAAGATGGGCAGTCTTGATGCCCGACAGACTACACAATGATGGCACACGCATCAACTACCGACAGACCGAGAAAGCATGGCCAAGGGTTGTTGTCCACGCTCAGTTCCGTGGTGGTTTGGAAGGTGCTGATTGAGTTCAGCTATGCAAAGCTCGAGCTGCAGCGCCGAAGACATGCCCACCGAAGCTTCGAGACCAGATTCGAGCCGATTGTGCATGGGTCGATGTCGTCGACTCGCCCACACCATCACCAC